TTGGTCTGGATAAATACTGTGGATAAATATATGTTTAATGATATTTTATTATGATGTACTATGATTGATTTTATATGTGCTAACCCTTATATTTCCATGATGGACTGTGATGATCTCACTATGTGGGGGAGCAGATCAGGTATGAGGCCTTGGGATAGCAAGGAGTCTTTCGGATAGCTGCTTTGAGAAGTGGCTAGGTTTAGAGCTTGACCAGCACCTAGGGTGTCTTATTTTGATGTCTTCATGACGTTGTAATTATATTACCTTTTTGTAGTAATGTATAACCTTATTGAGGATAATGACTTTATTATAAAAATATGTTATATATTTTGGAACCAATTTTATATGTTATTGTATATTTACACTCTAGCGTAGCTGGCCCTTGTTCTATTTTCTTTAATATATATTATTTATCTTTGGTTGGTTCTGGATGTGAGGCCTAGGGTGGGTCGTTACATCTTACTCTCTTTATATATATCCCAAAAAATAAATTTAATCTAAGGATATAAAAGCTCAACTTTTAGCAATTTTATCCTCTTTGAACTTTAACGAAGGAAAAGAAGAACTACAAGTATTAGAATAGTGGATTTGAGCCTAACTCAACTCTACAAAATCGAGTTGTAAGGTGAGGGTTGCTCTCTACTTATATACTATTTAATTGCCTAATCTCTAGTCAATATGGGACTTAGGTTTTTCCCAATACACCCCTCACGTCCAGCAGGATTGGGCTTGGTACGTGGATAAGTGGTAGGTGACCCTTTTTAATGATCTAGGATTGGCGAGACTTGAGTTTTTTCCATGGCACATGTATCAATGGTGGGTAGCCCATTTAAAGTGGATATAAATGATTCTGATACCATGTTAGAATAGTGAATTTGAGCCTAACTCAACTCTATAAACTGGCTTATAAGGTGAAGGTTGCTCTCCACTTATATACTATTCAATTGCCTAATCTCTAGTCAATGTAAGACTTAAGTTTTCCCCAATAACAAGATAACAACTTTGTCAACGTCAATCCTTATATTTAAAATGAAAATGATTGTTATAACATTTAGTCAATTCTCGATTTAAAAGATTGATGGAGGTATTTAAGAAATATTCAAGTGATTAAAAAATAATCAAAATTAGTATCAACTTTAATTTTGGAAAAAGTGAGAGGAAAAACAATAAAAGAAAGAGAAAAGAAAAAGAGGAAAAAGAAAAGAAATTAAAAGAAAAAGAAAAGAAAAAGAGCCCGTCGAAAGTTAAAGATTCATCTATAAACCAATTAAAATTATCCACACAAACGACAAATGACTTATCAAAACTCTTCTTAGAAAAAGAATTGAATCTTATCGAGAACCAGCACTACAAACAACAAAAGTTAATATTTAGAAGAAATCTTATCTCTTAATAGTTCAATTTCTATTTATCAATTACTTTTGAATTATGTGGTTGAGATCCTAACTTTTGTCATTATAAATACCCCTCAGTTGTAAAGAGGAGGCATCGATGAGTTTACTATTGATCAAAGTCTCTCTATCCCTCTTACCAAAATATCTCAAAATCCTCTTATGTATTTTCTCTTTATAACTTTCTTTTTGTACTTTGAAAATATTTTACAAGTAAATAAATTTCCCTTTCAGTAATTTTCTCTCCTATTAATATCCTTTATCTTGCATAATTAGCATACTTTGAATTAGAAATAATATTATAATTACACATATATATTATGATTTCAGCGCAATATGAAACACAAAATTAAAACAAAATCTCAAATGACATAAGAGATGCAAATGTTGATGAAGAACTTCAACTTCTCCCGTTACGAATGAATTCCACTTCAGAAGCATGGAACTTTTGCATTTCATTATATTTAAACCATGAAAACCTCAACTTTATTTTATTATAGTCTTATTCAAAATTATTGTCCTTTATCAAACATTTTCCCTAGGTGGACGACATTTACAACGACAACATCCATTAAAGCATTCCTTTGTGCAACCGAAACGATCTGCATCAGAGCAATTTTTACATTGATCTGAGGATTTGCATTTGGCACATTGTGCGTTTGCAAAACCTGCAAAAAAAAAAGAAAAAAAAAGAAAAAGAAAAATATAATGCCTTAGAGCTTAATTGAAGAAAGAAAAAAAAAAGGTTGCAAAACAAATACTCATTTCACAAGTTTGAATGCATTATATGTAACCTAAAGCAGATAATATATTAATTTTTAAATGTAGATACTTGTATATAAAAGGCACAAACAAGGAGAAACATGGAGAAGAATACCAGTTTCAGATGCTAGAAGAAATAAAATTATCAAGCAAGGTAACAACAAACAAGGTTTCGCCATAAAGTGTCTCTACGTTGTTTTGAGAATCAATTTTTTCTATGACAATACGTAGTTCTGTTTCCAAAGATTATTTATAATGACAAGCACATTTAATCTCATAATGGCCAAAGATTGAACATATTTTACCGAAGATTTTTTATTATTATTTTCTTTCTTTTTCTGGTATGAGATAATTTTCCTCAATAAAAAAATATCCTCAGTAAAAAATTTAATAAAAAAAATTTACACAAAAGTTAGAAATTTAATTAATTTTAATTTAAAAATAAAATTTGAAAAGATAACAGATAATATTACTTTACTCCTATATATATAAAATCCAAATACTTAATTCATCAAAGTTAAGAAAAATAGTTAATTTAATTGATAATAATAAATTTATTTTATTTTTATATTTTTTTCTTCAAATTTATCCTTATACTATTTTTCTCTGTTAAATAATACTCACCTTTCTCTTGATCAATTAGAATACATAGTTTATATTACTTCTCTTTCATAATTAATACTATTTATTCTTTTAACCAATTAGAATGTATGTATTTTTAATAGTCTATAATAATTAATGTATTCTATCAAATTATAATTAATATATTAAATATTATGAATTAAATCTTATATAAAAAATAATATTTTTCTAAATTGAATCCTATAAATAAGAATGGAAGTAGAATAAATTAAAATGTTTACATTATCATTTATTTAGAAATCATCAAATATGACTTTTAATAGTTATTATAAAAATTATATAAAAAATATCATGCATATAATTTGTACTTGAATAGATATAAAAATAAATAAATAAAATTATCTTTGATTATAAGTCGTCATTAAAAGAGCAAAAAAAGTGTCCTCGTAAAAACCCATTGGTCAAAGTGTTGTTTTTGAGGATTATTTATGTTGTTAGTATTAAGTGCATTAATTTTCAAAACGAGACAAAATATTAGTCAAAGTTGTGTTTATGAGATAATAATAATAATAATATAAAATAACAATAATAATAATAATAATAAATAATAATAATAATAATAAAAACTATGTTATTCCAAAGCACCGCTAATCCGAATATTCATTAATATCATCAGTCGTACATTCTCATCACAAATCCACAAAATAATAAAATATTAGAAAATAAGTGAAGCAGTTTGCAAAAAATAAATAAAAATAAAGTTGTACTTTTGTTTCTAAATTAGAACAATAGCATACGTGGCAATAGTATACATGATAGTACATACTATGTTGCTTCAGAAGTCAATTTAGGAAATACAATTAATATTTATAGAAGCTTCTCTTTTTTTAAAAAAACCTTTTGTCGGACACATGGATATGGATGTAAGAGAAGTTTTCCTAAATAAAATCATTCTTGGTAAAATTCTTTTCAATTTAAGAACAATCAACCTTACAGTGGTGATCAATAACAGATTGTTCATTTTGAACAAAAATAATCAATTATATGGTTAATTGTTCTTGAACTGAAAATACTTCTACTAAGAACTCTTGGGTTTTTTTTTTCCTACATTATATTGAATATGCTAAATATATACCATATTTACAGCGATATAGTGAGAGAATCAGTATGATTCCAAATTTTTGTGATTATCTCCCACAGCAACTCTGCTTGTGAGGGAAGGCCTCATTGTGACAATGGCTGAATCATTAGCCCCAGCTTTAAGAGCAGCCTTTGCAGCTTCCAGGAACCTCCTCACTGCATCTTCTGCATACCTGTTTGCTTCTTTCACTGTCATGGTCTTACCAATGTTTGGATATGAGTTGAGTACATAATCACCATTGAGCTGAGATGCAAGCTGAATCAATTCCATTTGGAATTCTGAAAGTCTCGAGTCTTCTCTTGGTCCATGTGACCTTAGTGTCTTTATCTCCGGAAGAGTTTCTATATAAACAATCATATTGGAAATAATGTAAAAACATAACAAGGGAAATAAATAAATTAATTAATCACTAGCACCAAACGGCTCTAAAGAGAAAAAGACAGATCCGAAGGTTTGTGCACTAAATTTTGGATCTTTATAGGTACAAGTGCACCGTTGATGTTTCAATATACTTCCAAATCTGGTTTTTAGATGAAGACAGAAATGGAAACTTACTAGCTTTTTCTTGCTGCAGTTAGCATGCAAGTCACAGGAAATTTCTAAGACTGCATTCTGGCATGAATTGCCATGGATGGAAATTTCAGAGTCTATTGCTCAATAAAATGCATAGATAATATTGGTGGAGGAGGGAAACCAAAATTTGGAATTTGCTCATATCCCAATACATATCACAGTTCTTACTTAGAACGTAGATAATGGATGTAGAACCAAACACGCACTGAAGCACATATAGTTCAAAAGGCATTGATTTTGCTCCCATACATAACAGAATACCCAGAATGCTGAAATCAGATGTAACTATGAAAGAAGTAGATGCAAACCTGGACAATCATCACGAGGAGTATCTCGAATGTAAAAGTATTTTTCAAAGGTACCAGCCCATGCATCTCTTTTTGTCAAGAAATTGGATTTCAAATTGAAAAGCTTCTTTACTGTGGCAGGAATAGACGAATGTTCATATTGAGAATATGGAGTTGGACCCTCTGCTTCATGAATCACTGCAAAATATAAAAATTAAATTATATCAAGAGGCATATCACGATTCTTATATGTTGCAATTGAGTAAAAATACTTCTCATTATCATCTCATATATTCCATATTTGGCTCAAGCAATAAGCTACTATCTTACCGATCATCAATCAAGTCCATAAATGCTTAAACTAGTTTATTACCCCTCACATGAATCTACGGACTAGGGGCATAGATTGTCTGATAAGTGAGAACTACAGTATACACAAAGATGACCGAAACTAGTTTTCAGTATATTACACAAGTACATAGGATAGGAGTTTCAAAATTCAGTACATCATTTTGAAGTAATGCAAAACTTTTCCCACAAATAAATAAGAATACTGAAATGGTACATGCACATAGCTCCATCAAGTGCAAAAGTGATGTGAGCATATATTCATTCATGAAAAACTTAAAACAATTACCAGTACCCACCAACAGGCCAGTTAACTTATGTCAAGACCCAAAATGACATCAACAAACACATGTACATGTACAAATACAAATCCCACAGAAACAATCAGATAGCAACTAATTCATGTACTCAAAACACCATCACCAACCAAATAAACCTACTACATCAAAATTCCAAAACCAAGTCAAAATCCCGTAGCTCAACCCACCAAAGCCAAAGCATGTTCCACAAACTCAATCCAGAAAACCAAAATAGGACTCACCTGGTACGATCAAAACCAAAAAAGAACAGTAAACTAAGTTAAGGCCTCATTTGTTAACTATTTTCAAAAACATTTTTTTAATTTCTAAAATTTGTTCGTCCTCTCACCACATCAAAAGTGTTTGTCCAATGAACACATCCCCATTTTCTTGCTCGAACAATGGTTCTTGGACACTCTCTGTCTCCCTCCCAAATCATATTATTTATCATTCCTATATTTTCTCCTGTTTTCTCTCTCTCTCACTAGGTGTCTAATATCATTTGGGGCTTCCAAAAATATCTCTTGCCCGTAAAAAAATTGTCCCTTACACATATTTGAGCGGGAAAAAATCCCCCAACTGTCTCCATTTTTATGAATAATTCCCAAATTCGGACGAAAAACATTTCAAAAAAACAGTTTTTTTCAAAGCAAACAAGCCTTAAACCATAAAAAATCTGAAAAAGTTGAAAACTTTGGAACACATACCAGTCCCCTTCTCGATCCAGGGCGAGATAAGAAAAGTGGGCACCCTAACCCCCAATCTATCAAAGCCAAAGTAATAAGGGTGCGGGCCAATGATCCCATCAGGGTTGGGCACACCGACAACCGGCGTAGGAACATGATCATAAAACCCCCCATGCTCATCATACGTAATCAAAATGGCCATCTGCTCCCACTGCGGACTCTTCCTAAGAATCTCATACACCTCCTTCACAAACATCTGCCCCGCCGCCACGTCATGCGAGGGGTGGTCATCATTCGCCGGAAAAACCTCGACATCGAAGTACCTCTGCTCGATGACCACGTAGTTGGGCAGCTTCCCCTTCTCGGCGTGTTTCCTGAACTTCAAGGCGTAGTCGTGGAAGTTGAGGGCGTTTTTGAGCTTGCGGAGGGTTTTGAAGAAGAGGGTGGCGGGGATGTTCTGGTAGTAGATGCCGAAGGAGAGGCCGTTGTCGGCGAGGGAGTCGAAGATGGTTTTCTGGGGGAAGCCGTGGATGAGATCCTTGCGGACATTGCTCATGGCGCCGTGGGAGGTGGCGGAGTGGACGTAGAAGCGGTTGGGCTGGGTGGAGGCGGGGACGGAGGCGAACCACTTGTCGAAGACTCCGAAGTGGTGAGCCAGTTTGGTGTAGACGGGGAGGATTTGGGGCTTGAAGGCGCTCATCACGGTTTTGGAGAAGCCCGGCTTGATGGACTCGGCTTGCTGCGCGAACCCGTTCATGGGGGCAGGGGTTAGGGAGGTGACGTTGGAGCCGAAGATTTGTTCCCTTATGGCTTGGAAGGAGTGGCCAGGGTCGCCGTCGATGAAGAGGGCGTCGTCGGTGACCGGGATTCGGGGGGACTCCGGGGAGGAGACGGAGAGGGGGTTGGACTCCTTCCCGGTGAGGCCGTCGATGTCGGGGCGGGAGGGCTTGAGCCAGCCGAGCACGTGGTCGAAGGAGCGATTCTCCATCACTATTACCACGATGGTTTTGATGGGGCCCGGGAGCTTGTGTTTCTTGCGGAAGGCGGCGCTGGGGGAGGGGGAGAGGAGGAGGATGAGGAGGAGGAGGAGGAGGGGGGTGCGCCGGAGACCCATCTCCGCTGGTGGTGTTGAGTAAGACTTGGAGTTAAGTTGCTTAATTGGGGAGGTGGTATTCGTATAAACTATAAAGGGATATGCTTTCGAATTAAGGATGCTTTTTCTTTCGAATTTATGCTCTCAAACCAAACATGAAACACCCTTTTTTTTTTTTTTTTTTTTATGACTTACGTGTCAACATACACAATTCAAATTCTCTCAATATAATAGTTTCATAAAATAAAATAATAGCCTTCAATTTTCATAGAGTTTGACGGAAAAGTGGTGTTTTCTATTTTAATCTATACTAATAGATAAATGAAATTTTTTTTCTTAATCATTTTTGGTCTTCACAATTGTGAATGATTATATTTCTAATTTTTAAGAATAAATATTAACAGCTCACACTATTATTTATTTATATATATATATATATATATATATATATATAATAATAATAATAATAATAATAATAATTTTGTAAATTTTTAAAATAACCATCATAAAAGTTACACTAGTGATATAATTGATATGGTAAAAAATTATTCTGTTAGTACGTAGAGTAAATAATAAATACAAAATTATAATTAAACTGTCGGGTATAAAGTGTGGACTAGGTTCTCTTTAGTTTATGTAGTATTCAATAATTAATACCCCTTTCTCTCTCTCTCACTCATTAAATGGGCAATCCTGTTCTTTTTCAATCTCTTTACATTTATGCAATATGCTTGCTTGCTCAGCCACTGGTATATATGATCAGAAAGGTGAGAAAAATAATATGAGAGCATCAAGTGTAAAAAGAATATGAGAATACTATGTGTCATGTAAATTGTTATATATTTATACTATTGTATGACTTTAAATATTTTATCTTTATATTATAGGAGTGTTTATTTTTTTAATTTGTCAAAATTATAATGAGTCAATGACAATACTAAGATTTATATTTAAAATTATATACATATTATTCTAACTTTACTATTAAATCAATTCTAATAATTCAAGAATGTGTTTAGAAAAGTATTATATTGTATTTTTACACATTTCAAAGTAAAAATATATAAAGAAAAAAATCGTGTTTAATTTAGTCATTCTATTAACGTACCTTTTTTTTTTTTTTACCAAATTCCATTAACATACTTACAACAAGGAGATTAGGAAAAAAAAATTGTTGACTAGGAACTTAAAAAGTACAAAAGATTTAATAATTTAGAGAATAAATTGTATGAACAAAATATTCAAGGATTAAAAAGTACACAAAGTATTATATTTAAGGTTTTTCAAAATGTATAATTTTAATAATTTTAAATTCAGATTTTGGACATACAATTATATTAAATATTTAAAAATAAATATATAATATATTTATTGACAATATAAAGGTTTAATATTGTCATCGAATGTTACTTAGTATAATATATTTATTAATTTTATAATAATTATTTTAATTTATTATTTAAATAATATTAAATTTTACAATAAAGTTATACAAATACTTTACACTCCCTATGAGAAACATGAAGCGTAGAGAGAAAATTGATATATATTTTACAATAAAATATGTATCCTTTTCTCTTCTTTCATTACTCAACAACAAAAGAGCATTCAAATTAAACTTTCTTTTATACTTTTTTGGACAACTTGTACAAGTATTTTTATTTTTATTTTTATTTTTGAACTAGTCAAATTTAAATTTGGTGGGATGCTTTTGTGGCGTTTATGATACGACTTTTGTGATATTTTGTTTGCACATGAATAACAGTTTTGAACCAATAGGCCATCAATGAATATCCCTATGAAAGGTCGATTAAGACTTGAAGTGAGGTAAATTACAAATTGGATAACCAAAATGCTTTTCATATTTCAAACAAAGAGCCCAACAATTTACATGGCCGAATGGCATATTCCTTCTTTGGATTTTGATGGGGGAACTCACTCTACTGTGAAAGTGAAAGCCACTACCACCAACAAATAAACTATACCTTCCTTCAACCACATTTTTTCCCCTATTTTACTTTTAAATATAAATGTAAACCACATCCTTATTTCACTATGAAAATTTAAATCTGTAATATATGATTTTATTTTAGTTTTTTAAAATTATTTTTCCTTTTATTTATCCTTAACTATTACTTCAACATTATATTATGTAATGACATTAGGAATAACTATCTAGCGGATTGGATTAAACTGAAAAAACAATGTACATCAATTAAACTAATGATGTATTTATTTGTCATCATAAGATATATATAAAAAAAATTGAATTATACATGTGAACCTTTTCATCCAAGACATAAAATTTGTAAATAAAAAAAAAATCTGTTATTATTAAGATAGAAAATATTTTAATAACAAAAGAACCATTAATTAATAAAATAACAATAGCTAATATTTAAATACATTATAATTTATTATTAAATTTATTACATTATAATTTTATTGTTTTAATCCTTCACAAGAATTTACCAAGTTCTGCCTTTGGGACAGGGATTGCCTAAAATCTCTATAATGCTTCACCACTATATTAATGAACACCTCTTAAAATTAATCATCATAGGATCAATATTTATTTATAATTTTGAAAGGATAAGATTCACATTTTCTTTTGAGTGATGTAATCATGTACGTTATTGTTAATTATGATGAATTATATGTTGTGATTTTGGAGTTTAAGTGTTAAGAAAATTCTGAAAATTTTGAAATTCTTGAAAATTTTAGGTTGTTTAGGAGTTTTTTGGAACACAGATTCAGTTTGACCTATAAGAAAAATGTATATAAGATTTTTTTTAAGACCCGAGTGTTATAAGTTTTTTTCCTAAGAAATCTTAGAGAGATAACTTAGAGAGAGAAGCTTTAGAAACATAAGTGACTCAACTTCATTCTAATTCCATAGTGTAACATTGTGAGTTTTTGCTAATTATTTTGTTTTATTAATGATTATATGTTGTAGAGCTATCAAAATGGGTCAATCTAGCCCGTTTGACCCGGCCCACCTTAACCCACTTTTTAAGTGGGTTGACCCGACCCAACCCACCAAATTTGTTGCCCAAAATTTTCTAACCCGGCCCAGCCTATCACGGGTTGGTGGGCTAAACATGTCGTCCCACCAACCCACCAAATTTTTAAAAAAAATTCTAATTTAAGATAAACTCCACTATAAAATAATCTTTAATCTAAAGTAAAAATTATCAAACTAAGTATCATGCATACAACATTAAACTTAAATTAAAAAGTGTACAACTTTAAAAAATTAAAACAAAAAAATAAAATTTCATTAGAGGTTTGAGTAGATAAATTTATACCAATTTCAAGTTGTTTAACATTGATTTTATCTTTATCTATAAAAAAAATTATATCTTGTTAAAATAATACATATAATAATAAATAGTTAAGTGAGTTGTTAGTGGGTTAGGTTGATAGGGGTGTAAGTGGGTTAGGTGGGAAGCCCACCCATCATGGGCTCAACCTGGGTGGGTCGAGTCGAAAGTGAGTTGGGTTATATTTTTTGACCCATTATGAGTTTTTTTCATTTTTTTGGCCTGGCTCAACCCGTTTTCAAGGTAGATCATGTTGCCCACGAGCCGAAGCCCACTATGACGGTATGTTGTGGTGCTTTTGGCTATTTATTATTGAGAATCTCTGAGAATTTAGGGAATTCTCGTTAGATTAGGTTGTTTAAAAAGTATTTTTGGGCAAAGGTCTATTTTAACTCTAAGGAAAAGGTATATAAGGTTTTTTTAGAATTGAGCTTCATAAGTTCATTCTCAAAATTCCTAGAGAGATAAACAAGTGAGACAAACTTTGAAGCTCTGACTTTTCTTCCTTCTTTCTAGACTTCTCAAACACGTAAGGATCTTTATGGGGTGTTGATTCAAAGCCAAAAATTTGAGAATCAAGGTGGTGTCATGCGAAGTTTCTTGAAAGAGCTTGGAGCTCGTTCTTTTTCTCCTCCCTCATTTTCTTAAGTTTCAAGGTAAAGGAAGCTAAAAACTTGTTATGTGGAGTTATATGAGTTACATGTTAATTGATTGTCATCAAAATGAAAATGTATTGGCTGATTTCAAATGGTATGATGAAGGGTTTGGATTTTGGGTGCGTTGAGCATGTGAAGGTGGATTTTGATGATTTGAGATTGTCAATAGTTTCATGTTGTTAATATGATGAGTAATGGATTCTATGTGATGCATACTTGTGGATTGTGTTGTTGCATGTTTGGTTCTTTTAATTTTCAGGAGGTTTGAGCCAAATTCATGAGTTTGCAAATGCATAACTCATCATTGTGTTGGGCATGACTCAAATAATTAGGAGGTCTCTATCTTATTCGTGTTAGGTGCAAGATTGGTGACATCAGGCGTGAGAGAAAAGAAAAGTCTCTGACTTGGTCATATTGGGTGTGGTTTGAATGACATTGGGCATGATGTGAGAGAATCGACTCTACCTGAACTGACAATGGGCATCAAAGGAGTGACGTCGAGCCAGAGGTGAGAGAATTGGCTCTATCTGAATTGGCGTCAATATTGTGATGTTGAGCGTGAAAAAAGAGACTTGTCTCTTCCTAAAATGGGGTCGAGCGTGAACTTTGTCACGTCAGGCATGAAGGCCCAAGGTTCCCTATCTCATTCACATCAGACATGGGTTGAATGGTGTTGTTCCATGGGTGTGGATAAGGCACAAGACTCCCCGTCTCAATGGTGTCGAGCGTCAAGTGTATGGTGTTGGGCATGATTTGTTTTGAAAACTCTTGTTATTTGATTGATAAAAAGATGAACATGAATATGTTAGATGAATCTATTACATGTTGCATGTTGATGGATGGTATTGATAATATATATATATATATATATATATATATATATATATATATATATATATATTT